TAGTTATTGATATAGCGTCACAAAGGTGGTGATACAGTGACACTTTTAGTGATTGATATAGCGTCACAAAGGTGGTGATACAGTGACACTTGCAGTGATTGATATAGCGTCAAAAAGGTGGAATTTTAGCACTGTGTACAATGAACAAAAAACACATTTTTGCGATATTCAAAATGGCCGCGGAATTGGTCATTTTTTAAAAAAAAAAAACGTAAAAAAGTTCTGCTTCTAGTGTTTTGATACATTTTTTAGATTGATCATGATTTGTTATTTCAACAAAAACCCGCTATACTTGTTCAAAAAGAGATTTGAACGGGAATGAAACTTCAGAAGAGTAGATTCTAAATAACAGTTATGTAAATGAGAAGTCAGGATCAGGTAGTGCCACTATATTACTTACAAATGTAGTATTAATAACAGGTGTGTCATTGAGAAGTACATATCATACGTCAGGGTCAGGACCGGGTCATAGGATGACGGATTAGTATTTTCAAGGTGACATTCATCACACATTCCAGTTTGTTTTCTGTTCAGTGACATTGTCGCGAGACTTATCTACGTTACGAACGGGAATGTTGTCTTGGAGAAGTTAGATCTCTAGGTTTCTGATATGATAGCCAAAGGAGCCTTGTGGAGAAAATTTAGTTAGAACTTATCCGATAACGGATACCGGATACTTTAACAAACTCACAATGGAACGAGGTAGCTAGAGCCTCGTCCTGAGAATGTCACGGCAGGAAGTAAATGCTGTCTGACAATGAGTTTATTTTGTTTGTGTATCACAAACTATAACATATACATATTAACGAAACAACATTCTATAAATCTTAATCTTCTTGACAATTGGCTCGAAAATATTCTCAGTGTTATTTAAAAAAGACAGATAAGTGTCGCAATGACAAATATAAAATAGGCACATGCCCTAACCACGTGTTATATTGTCATAGTCCCATTCGGTAGGTTCTTGAATCGGACAACAACGAATATAAAAATAAATGTATGTAAACCAACAGAAAGGAAAAGTAAACCACGTGATACTGCTTTGAAATTGATGTGCTTAGCCATGTTGGATATCAAAAGCGCGGGCATGCCCTACTTTGTTTGCAAAATAACGGTCGAACGTACTCGCTCAGGGCTCTTCTGAGGTATTTGTGTCTGTCTGTTTGGCGGGGGATTTATTCATCATATCTGTATTTCATATACAATATGGATGAGAACAGTAAGTGCAAGTGACATGAAAGAAATGTGGAAATGAAAATTGAAATACAATCGATATAAATATCATTTAATAATAACAGCTTGACAAAAAGAAGGGATAAGTTAGTCAATCAATAATAAGTGGACAATAAGATGACGCACTGTAATGACTACTATATAATTAACTAGATTTACTGGAATGTCATAATGAACGACTTTTTTGATCATATCAGGTAATCTAATCTTATAAATGATAAATGACGTGAGCGATTTAACGTTGTCATTACAGACATAATAAATGGCAGCGCTTGGATCACCCACCAGAACAACTATCTATACTTCCCTGTCTGACTTGTCTAAAGACACATTAACATGCGAGGGATATTTATTTACAAAATCGTGGAAAGAGTATCCCGCAAATTTGCTAATTCTAACTCGCCGCGACTTTAAATGTACCCTTGCAATGAGCGCATGATAGTTCGCAAGCAGGTGGAGTAATCCACATTATGGAAACAGTTTTGCAATTTCTAATAAAAGAAGGATAACATTTTGAAAAGTACCAGATCACTGAGGGTTTCATTTCAGGAGGAATATTTATGAATCTCGAAAAATCCGGCGAATGATCTTAACGAGGTGTCCTGTCATCTGAATCCTAACAAAGACGAACATTTTAGCTAGGTTTGTCCATCGTTGCTTTGGAGGAAATATTCCCGACTTAAGGAATTCATTAAAAAATATCATGGAAATTGTACCTGTAAAGCGTACCTACTGCATCAACAATAACACCCTTTCTAGCTTTATGTAGATCAGGGCACTTTTGATACAAAAAGCGAAGGGCACATTTACCTTCATTTACATATAAATGAAGCGATGATAAACCAAGCATACCTAATGTTGTCAGTTCTGGTCCTCAGATGGATATTTTGAAATAGTTTCCCACACAAGTGGTGTACTGATTCCAAACGACGCCCGTCTGTGTTTGTAAGTGAGTACCACAACTCAACAACAGAGAGGTATAGGTACACCTGTTATTGGGTTGATGCTGGGGTCAAATAATTACAATTTAAAAGAGAAAAAACCTTGGCCACATTGGTTACTAGTGGGTAACTTAATCGACATCAGGACGACCTTGTTTAAACTCATTTATATTAATTCCACCTTTTTTAACATTTGTTCACTGAGTGACGTCACTGACGGCTCAGTACCCTCTACGGTTCGACTGTAAGTGGCTACAGTCACATACGGCCAAAGTCTAAGACCCTGGCCAAATTCAAGAAAGATATAAAAAAAAAAAAAAAAAACTCTTCACATCTGCACTTTGAGCTCTTTGCGCAGACGTCATGTTCACACCACACTTTATTTAAATCGTCGAATCATGGTGATTTTTGTGCCTTTTTTGTTTATCAATTATAATTAATACTATTGTCCATATGTATTAAAACGCTTTAAAATATTATACAAATTATATGGGGCGCTATATTAATGTTGTAGATAATTATAATTATTACTAGTTCGTTCGTTAAAAACTACAATCACTGATTTAGAGGGATTTATTTAAACTTCTATTTATAGCTATACTTATTGCATATGTGCATGAGCATATCTGATGTGTGTTTAAAAGAAGCAAGGAGACATATCGTCTGCCTGTTTTGTGGGAGTTTATTCCATGCATCCAAACATCAGTGTTTCCTGATCGCCGTTCTAGTTTGATTTCGTCTGTCAGAAAATTACGTCACTTCTTGGGAAAATATTAAGATGTGTTATTATACATCTATCGGGTACGAGCCATTGTGGCCAGGCGTTCAGGTCACCCAATCTTCACAAGTTATGGACGTACTCTTAGTTAGCCGATGTGCATCACTCTCAGAAAAAAATGGATGTTATTTCAGCTTATGTTTGACCCTGAAATTCTATAAAGCGTTTGTTTCTGCTAATTGTTTAATTGTCTTGTGTACCCAAAAATCGTAACTTATGCTTTCATTTTATATTTCTTTCGTTTGCAATATAATGAGCCCATTTATTAATACTCAAAACTGAAAAATGATTAATTTAGTCTATTTGAGCGAAAAATATATCGACCAAGAATATAATGAAACTAAGAAGAACGCATAAAAATGTTTTACGATACATTTCAGGTTTGACTGACACTTACCATGTCAAACTTGGCGCTTTTATCGACACACATAGAGAAGGCGAAGGTGACGACTGTACAGGCAGCGAGCGATAGATAGGTGTTCACTATCGCCCTGTGCTGTTCGTCTCCACTGGCCGCTCCGCCATTAAAACTGGGCCAGTAGATCCACAAGAACACCGTACCTGTTGAAATACAAAGAGAGGGACCAATAGAAACAGGCGCACAACATCACGTGGTCTAATTCAAAGAGAGGGACCAATAACAACAGGCGCACAACAACACATGGTCTAATACAAAGAGAGGGACCAATAAAAACAGGCGCACAACATCACGTAGTCTAATACAAAGAGAGGGACCAATAAAAACAGGCACACAACATCACGTGGTCTAATACAAAGAGATGGACCAATAGAAACAGGCGCACAACATCACGTGGTCTAAAACAAAGAGAGGGACCAATAAAAACAGGCACACAACATCACGTGGTCTAATACAAATAGAGGGACCAATAACAACAGGCACACAACATCACGTGGTCTAATACAAAGAGAGGGGCCAATAACAACAGGCGCACAACATCACATGGTCTAATACAAAGAGAGGGACCAATAGAAACAGGCACACAACATCACGTGGTCTAATACAAAGTGAGGGACCAATAGAAACAGGCGCACAACATCACGTGGTCTAAAACAAAGAGAGGGACCAATAGAAACAGGCACACAACATCACGGGGTCTAATACAAAGAGAGGGACCAATAGAAACAGGCACACAACATCACGTGGACTAATACAAAGAGAGGGACCAATAGAAACAGGCGCACAACATCACGTGGTCTAATTCAAAGAGAGGGACCAATAACAACAGGCGCACAACATCACGTGGTCTAATACAAAGAGATGGACCAATAGAAACAGGCGCACAACATCACGTGGTCTAAAACAAAGAGAGGGACCAATAGAAACAGGCACACAACATCACGTGGTCTAATACAAAGTGAGGGACCAATAGAAACAGGCGCACAACATCACGTGGTCTAAAACAAAGAGAGGGACCAATAGAAACAGGCACACAACATCACGTGGACTAATACAAAGAGAGGGACCAATAGAAACAGGCACACAACAACACGTGGTCTAATACAAAGAGAGGGACCAATAGAAACAGGCGCACATCACCACTTGGTCTAATACAAAGAGAGGGACCAATAACAACAGACACACAACATCACATGGTCTATACAAAGAGAGGGACCAATAACAACAGGCACACAACATCACGTGGTCTAATACAAATAGAGGGACCAATAACAACAGGCACACAACATCACGTGGTCTAATACAAATAGAGGGACCAATAACAACAGGCACACAACATCACGTGGTCTAATACAAATAGAGGGACCAATAACAACAGGCACACAACATCACATGGTCTAATACAAAGAGAGGGACCAATAAAACAGGCACACAACATCACGAGGTCTAATACAAAGAGAGGGACCAATATAAACATGCACACAACATCACGTGGTCTAATATAAAGAGAGGGACCAATAGAAACAAGCGCACAACATCACGTGGTCTTATACAAAGAGAGGGACCAATAGAAACAGGCGCACATCACCACTTGGTCTAATACAAAGAGAGGGACCAATAACAACAGGCGCACAACATCACATGGTCTAATACAAAGAGAGGGACCAATAGAAACAGGCACACAACATCACATGGTCTAATACAAAGTGAGGGACCAATAGAAACAGGCGCACAACATCACGTGGTCTAATACAAAGAGAGGGACCAATAGAAACAGGCACACAACATCACGTGGTCTAATACAAAGAGAGGGACCAATAGAAACAGGCGCACAACATCACGTGGTCTAATACAAAGAGAGGGACCAATAGAAACAGGCGCACAACATCACGTGGTCTAATACAAAGAGAGGGACCAATAGAAACAGGCGCACAACATCACGTGGTCTAATACAAAGAGAGGGACCAATAGAAACAGGCGCACAACATCACGTGGTCTAATACAAAGAGAGGGACCAATAGAAACAGGCGCACAACATCACGTGGTCTAATACAAAGAGAGGGACCAATAGAAACAGGCGCACAACATCACGTGGTCTAATACAAAGAGAGGGACCAATAGAAACAGGCGCACAACATCACGTGGTCTAATACAAAGAGAGGGACCAATAGAAACAGGCGCACAACATCACGTGGTCTAATACAAAGAGAGGGACCAATAGAAACAGGCGCACAACATCACGTGGTCTAATACAAAGAGAGGGACCAATAGAAACAGGCGCACAACATCACGTGGTCTAATACAAAGAGAGGGACCAATAGAAACAGGCGCACAACATCACGTGGTCTAATACAAAGAGAGGGACCAATAACAACAGGCGCACAACATCACATGGGCTTATACAAAGAGAGGGACCAATAGAAACAGGCACACAACATCACGTGGTCTAATACAAAGTGAGGGACCAATAGAAACAGACGCACAACATCACGTGGTCTAATACAAAGAGAGGGACCAATAGAAACAGGCACACAACATCACGTGGTCTAATACAAAGAGAGGGACCAATAACAACAGGCGCACAACATCACATGGTCTAATACAAAGAGAGGGACCAATAAAAACAGGCACACAACATCACGAGGTCTAATACAAAGAGAGGGACCAATATAAACATGCACACAACATCACGTGGTCTAATACAAAGAGAGGGACCAATAACAACAGGCACACAACATCACATGGTCTAATACAAAGAGAGGGACCAATAACAACAGATACACAACATCACGTGGTCTAATACAAAGAGAGGGACCAATAACAACAGATACACAAAACCACGTGGTCTAATACAAAGAGCGGGACCAATAACAACAGGCACACACCATCACGTGGTCTAATACATGGTCTAATACAAAGAGAGGGACCAATAACATCAGACACACAACATCACATGGTCTAATACAAAGAGAGGGACCAATAGAAACAGGCGCACAACATCACATGGTCTAATACAAAGAGAGGGACCAAGAGAAACAGGCGCACAACATCACGTGGTCTAATACAAATAGAGGGACCAATAACAACAGGCACACAACATCACATGGTCTAATACAAAGGGAGGGACCAATAACAAAAGGCACACAACATCACATGGTCTTCAATATTGTTTATGTTGGCTTTATACATTTTTGCGGTGTGTTTGTATATGTACCTCGGAGTGAGCTTTTCCCCTCTGACTTTTACAGTAAACAACAGGGAAATTTTAATACGCGGAACACGTTTTTTCTTACACAACTTTGGCATAGATAATAAAACAGGAAGGTTTGACTTATAGTTTTCCTAGTGGAATTTCGTCTAAAATAAACTCGAAACTCGATGACGAATCGATAATCTGGGAAGATATCAAAGGAATGGAAAGACACAGAAAGCATGTTGTCCTCTGAAACGGCAACACTTTGTGGGCTTTAAACAATGTTGAATGTTTATTAATTGAGGAAGTTTGAAGGTGTACATTGTATCAAACGAAGTGCAGAAATAAAGCAGAGCATGTATTAGTGATAACTCGTGGTACATCCTGACACAGATAAATAATTTTGAAAATCAAATCCGAAAATATTAATATGGAAATTAACAACGAGTTAAATAACACTAACTTAACATAGTCCTACAAAACTTTATGAGGCACGGTAGTCTAGTGGTAGGACGGTAGTCTAGTGGTAGGACGGTAGTCTAGTGGTAGGACGCCGGGCTCGTGACCTAAGGGTTGCGGGTTCGAGTAACGACACGGCACTGTGATGTATCTTTGAGCAAGACACTTTACTCCGATTGTCTACTCGACTGTTACTGAGTACGTGGTAGGGCTGTGCTAGAATTGTAGAATGGTAGCTGTGAACGCCGAAATAGCAGCACCGGCTGTATGCTCCCCAAGGAGTTAAGAAAGGTATTGGCTGGTTGCAAAGGCCCTATAACCACGGATGATAATTTGTGAACCGCTTTGAGACGACCTACAAATTAGGTTGTGATAAAGCGGTATACAAGAACCTCGAGTTACTATTTAACGTAACAAATAACATGTGTGTATCTTACGTGCATCTTTCAACACATATCAAGCATAGAAGTTAGTTTCTTATACTATTTTTAGTATATGCTTGAAATGAACGGTTGTATTTTAAGCATACTTCAACAGGTAACGATACATTTTTTCGACTACTTACCGCCATAGAGAGGATGTAACTTACCGACCATAGAGAAGATGTTACTTACCAACCATAGAGAAGATGTTACTTACCGACCAAAGAGAAAATGTTGCTTACCGACCACAGAGAAGATGTTACTTACCGACCATAGAGAAGTTGTTACTTACAGACCATAGAGAGGATGTTACTTACCGACCATAGATAAGTTGTTACTCACCGACCATAGAGAGGATGGTACTTACCGACCATAGATAAGTTGTTACTTACCGACCATAGAGAGGATGATACTTACCGACCATAGAGAAGATGTTACTTTCCAACCATAGAGAAGATGTTACTTACCGACCATAGAGAAGTTGTTACTTACAGACCATAGAGAGGATGTTACTTACCGACCATAGATAAGATGTTACTTACCGACCATAGAGAAGTTGTTACTTACCGACCATAGAGAGGAAGTTACTTACCGACCATAGATAAGTTGTTACTCACCGACCATAGAGAGGATGGTACTTACCGACCATAGATAAGTTGTTACTCACCGACCATAGAGAGGATGGTACTTACCGACCATAGATAAGTTGTTACTCACCGACCATAGAGAGGATGGTACTTACCGACCATAGATAAGTTGTTACTCACAGACCATAGAGAGGATGTTACTTACCGACCATAGATAAGTTGTTACTTACCGACCATAGAGAGGATGATACTTACCGACCATAGAGAGGATGTTACTTACCGACCACAGAGAAGATGTTACTTACCGACCATAGAGAAGATGTTACTTATACCGACCACAGAGAAGTTGTTACTTACCGACCATAGAGAGGATGTTACTTACCGACCATAGAGAAGATATCCGAGTGATACACGGCTCCTTCTTTTGATGATGATTTCTCTATCTCCTCCGAAAACAGAACCCGGGAAGCGGCCAGACCAAAGTAAGCACCAAAAGCATGGATGTACATAGATTCGCCTACGTCCTCCGCCTAAAATGAGTAACAGAGTATAAATGATACAGGGTTTAAACCTATGGATTTACTTAGATTCACATACATCTTCCGCCTTAAGGGAGAAACAGAATACCATACTATAAATATTACAGTCTTCAAACCTATAGATTCACCTACGTCTTCCATTAGAAGAATGAACGCATCAAATCTAATGTTTTATTACAGGTAAACGATATGGACAGAAACAGTGATAACAATACATTGGAATCATTCCGTCATTCTACCTGGAAAATGATCAAATATTTATTTTTTTACAGCAGAATATAGTTTTGGTTTGTTTTTCACAATCATGCCTTGTTTAGCATCTTAATTCATTGCAGGAAAAGGGGCCTGCCTTATAAATTCAACTTCCGGGGATTGTTTGTTTTGACCCCTCTCTGGTCAAGTAAAAAGTGGACATGATATATCTGAGCAACTTTGAAGTGAACGATCTACGTCTTTAGTTGGGTATGGCAAACGCTTCCATAAGACTTGACATAAGAAATTCAACTTCTTATTCGACATTAATATTTTAACAAAACAAAAAACAGACACATCACGAAAATCGACCTGAGAGAGCTAACGGAATAGATACAATCCACTCAGAAAGTGACGTTCTACAGTATTTACCCTGAGTTTATCAAGTCCAATGTACTCGTTGATTTGACTTAACACCACCTCGATCAGGCCCATTACGATCAGCTGGAGGGGACTCGTCTTTCCTAGCACCGCCCCGAACGATATCAGCACAGTGGCTGCGGCAAAGTCGGCACCCAGCAGACTAATTAAGTAACAACGATACGTATCAGCAGATTTAATAAGTAACAAATATACGTATCATCAGACTGAATAAGTAACAAATATACGTATAAGTAGACTGAATAACGCACAAATATCCTTATCAGTAGACTGAATAAGCAACAAATATACGTATCAGAAAAATAAATAAGTAACAAATATAAGTATCAGCAGACTAAATAAGTAACAAGTATACGTATCATCAGACTGAGTAAGTAACAAATATACGTATAAGTAGACTGAATAAGTAATAAATATACGTATCAGCAGACTGAATAAGAAACAAATATACGTATCAGTAGACTGAATAAGTAACAAATATACGTATCATCAGACTGAATAACTACGAATATACGTATCATCAGACTGAATAAGTAACAAATATACGTATCAGTAGACTGAATAACTAACAAATATAGGTATCAGCAGACTTAATACCTAACAAATATACGTATCGGCAGACTTAATACCTAACAAATATACGTAACGTAGTTATTAATTAAAAAATGTGTATGGTTTTAATTGATGTCAGATTGAAGGAGAGAACAAAATTAAAATTAATCCACATTGAAAAACAAAAATGCATATTAAAACTATGATCTCTTTTATTGTTTTCTTCTGCCATGCTGTAATGGTCTCTTTTGTAATGGAACAAATCTTGTAACATATTTTAAAAAACTGTTAAAAAAGTGAATACTCGAAAGAAAACATGGGCACCTCAACCCTGGAAATCCAGGAATGTTTGATTGTTCTGAGAAAGAAAAGGGAAACAAGAAAGAAATTATTATATGCTTACTCATTTACACATATAACTTTTAGAAAGGGTAGCTATCCTGTGTGTTCTAACACGGTAAGGTTTTATAATGATTAACTTCTTTACAGTTTATAGTACACGATACAATTATTGATACTTTTATGTCATTCAGGCAGGTTTTATTGAAACAGGGATGCAATTAGGTATACCATGTTCTGTATAAGAAGATCACAAATATAAGTTTTATTGACTACTCCTAATGAGCGATTTTCCGCACCATGGTGCACACCAAATACCCTTATTTTACACGAAATACCCTTTATCTTAGATATTCTGTATAGTAAAAGGATTTAAAGTGGGTTAGTTTCGTATTTCTTACATTTTTAATTGCAAGGTTGTATTCAGTTAAAAAAGAATGTCACGTAATAAACAAATACCCATTGTGTGCCTTTTTTTTTACACGAAATACCATTTACCTTAGATATTCTGTATAGTAAAAGGATTTAAAGTGGGTTAGTTTCGTATTTCTTACATTATTAATTGCAGGGTTTTATTCAGTTAAAAAAGTATGTCACGTAATAAATATAATACACGTAATACTATTCGGTTTAAATGATTAAAAGGGAGCACTAAGCGCGGGATATGAATAGGAGTATTGTACAAGGCAGGGTTACGTGACAGAGGAACGTGATATTACGCTGGGTAACGCCATTACGTAATACTTCTATCTATCTCTGTGTGTCGTTTGTAGCGGTCATTGACGTTTCATGCTGTCATCAACTGCTTTTACAAAATGAAGTTATAGAATATCTTGTGACAGAAGGTCTTGTTATTTTGTCACTTTATATATACACATGACCTATTTATCAGACGTGAATGCCTGCTGACGTTCTGATCTGACAGCTATTGTCGTGTTGTCATTTCTATGTCTCGTTTTAGGCTGTCCTATGTTGATAAGATACCGTTCTACATACAAGTCGACTAAAGCTTTAGTCAGGGAACACTATCAGGACCACGCGACTTCCTGGCAATATAGATACTTAAAATTAGTGTTTCCCTGATGCCATAGACTTGTGTAAGCCAGTCCTACCTTGCACGTCACGTGATAGCATACAGTGACAGGGGCCCTAACCTGCCGTACACCAGTAGCCAATAGAGTGGATGGTAGAACAAGTTGGTGTACATTATAAATACGATGTCACTATATCGAATGTACCTGGTCTATGATGTCACTTTATACCTGGTATATGACGTCACTATATACCTGGTAGAGCGTTCTGTATCTATTACTAAAGTGTAGAGGTAACACCACCGGCGTGTGTGCTACGTTCATCACTCCAGATACAATGTGATGTACTCCGTCAGTGTATTATTAATCCCCGAGGTTTGCCGTTACCTTGACACAGTTAGCTCTAACACACTTTACTAACTATTTAATTTGACATTTACCAGTATTTCTCTTAATTTTATATTTATAAATAACTACGTTTCTACAAGTTTTTTGGCCCTTAGATTCCCCGACGAGTTCCAGAAGGACGAAACATGTACATGTTGCAGCGTAATTTATTTTTGGATTACTGCACCTATTACTAAGCCTTCATCGTTGAAATACCAGGATCGTTTTCATTTGTTAGGTCGTTAGGGTATATACTGACAATGGATCGTATTTTGGATCGTTTTGTATTTTGAATAAACCGCTTTACGGAATTTTAACATGCTTCCGTGTATATCTCAATAGACAACAGAACGAAGAGGACCCTGTACCCGTGTCTGTAATACGTTCATCATTTCAATGATCGTATTTAAATGGAGATGTTTTGCAATATTAAGGGTTTAATCTTAACGTTTTATCAAAATAACTACATACTAAATCACGGTTAAAATCGACACTTTGAACACTTGTTGGTTTCGTCTAAACACAGCGTTTTCCTTCTACATTGATTCGTACTTTGAGTAAATCACACATTTAGGTTGCATGTTTAATAAATACTGTTTTTATTATTATTTTCAATAGTTAAGTATGTCTTACATGTTATTTTGACAGTATGTGAAGATTAGTATTTCAAGTATGACGTCATAAATACGTCACAATAACTTACTCCCCGATTCCGATCGTGAACTTTGCTTCACCATGTAGAAGCTGGTGTATGACACCGCGGACAATGAGCGCCCACTGGATGATGACCGCGGCGATGAAGAGGTTTACACTGACAGCTGAGTACCCGTATCTCTTGAGGAAGGTCATTAGGAACCCGAAACCGATAAATATCATCACGTGGACATCCTGGAACACTGCAATAGAACAAACAGTATGTCATCACGTGGACTTCCTGGAACATTGCAATACAACAAACAGTATGTCATCATGTGGACTTCCTGGAACAATGCAATAGAACAAACAGTATGTCGTCACGTGGACTTCATGGAACATTGCAATTAAACAAACAGTATGTCATCACATGGACTTCCTGGAACATTGCAATAGAACAAACAGTATGTCATCACGTGGACTTCCTGGAACATTGCAATACAACAAACAGTATGTCATCATGTGGACTTCCTGGAACAATGCAATAGAACAAACAATATGTCGTCACGTGGACTTCATGGAACATTAAAATTAAACAAACAGTATGTCATCACATGGATTTCCTGGAACATTGCAATAGAACAAACAGTATGTCATCACGTGGACTTCCTGGACATTGCAATTAAACAAACAGTATGTCAGCATGTGGACATTCTGGAACATTGCAATAGAACAAACAGTATGTCATCACGTGGACTTCCTGGAACATTGCAATAGAACAAACAGTATATCATCACATGGACGTCCTGGAACATTGCAATAGAACAAACAGTATATCATCACGTGGACTTCCTGGAACATTACAATAGAACAAACAGTATGTCATCACGTGGACTTCCTGGAACATTGCAATACAACAAACAGTATGTCATCACGTGGACTTCCTGGAACATTGCAATAGAACAAACAGTATATCATCACGTGGACGTCCTGGAACATTGCAATACAACAAACAGTATATCATCACGTGGACTTCCTGGAACATTACAATAGAACAAACAGTATGTCATCACGGGGACTTCCTGGAACATCGCAAAGGAACAAACAGTATATCCTCACGTGGACTTCCTGGAACATTACAATAGAACAAACAGTATGTCATCCCGTGGACTTCCTGGAACATTGCAATTAAACAAACAGTATTTCATCACGTGGACTTCCTGGAACATTGCAATAGAACAAACAGTATTTCATCACGTGGATTTCCTGGAACATTGCAATAGAACAAACAGTATGTCATCACGTGGACTTCCTGGAACATCGCAAAGGAACAAACAGTATATCATCACGTGGACTTCCTGGAACATTGCAATAGAACAAACAGTATATCATCACGTGGACTTCCTGGAACATTGCAGTAGAACAAACAGTATGTCATCACGTGGACTTCCTGAAACATCGCAATAGAACAAACAGTATGTGATCACGTGGACTTCCTGGAACATTGCAGTAGAACAAACAGTATGTCATCACGTGGACTTCCTGGAACATTGCAATTAAACAAACAGTATGTCATCATGTGGACATTCTGGAACATTGCAATACAACAAACAGTATGTCATCACGTGGACTTCCTGGAACATTGCAATAGAACAAACAGTATGTCATCACGTGGACTTCCTGGAACATTGCAATAGAACAAACAGTATGTCATCACGTGGACTTCCTGGAACATTGCAATAGAACAAACAGTATGTCATCACGTGGACTTCCTGGAACATTGCAATAGAACAAACAGTATGTCATCACGTGGACTTCCTGGAACATTGCAATAGAACAAACAGTATGTCATCACGTGGACTTCCTGGAACATTGCAATAGAACAAACAGTATGTCATCACGTGGACTTCCTGGAACATTGCAATAGAACAAACAGTATGTCATCACGTGGACTTCCTGGAACATTGCAATAGAACAAACAGTATGTCATCACGTGGACTTCCTGGAACATTGCAATAGAACAAACAGTATGTCATCACGTGGACTTCCTGGAACATTGCAATAGAACAAACAGTATGTCATCACGTGGACTTCCTGGAACATTGCAATAGAACAAACAGTATGTCATCACGTGGACTTCCTGGAACATTGCAATAGAACAAACAGTATGTCATCACGTGGACTTCCTGGAACATTGCAATAGAACAAACAGTATGTCATCACGTGGACTTCCTGGAACATTGCAATAGAACAAACAGTATGTCATCACGTGGACTTCCTGGAACATTGCAATAGAACAAACAGTATGTCATCACGTGGACTTCCTGGAACATTGCAATAGAACAAACAGTATGTCATCACGTGGACTTCCTGGAACATTGCAATAGAACAAACAGTATGTCATCACGTGGACTTCCTGGAACATTGCAATAGAACAAACAGTATGTCATCACGTGGACTTCCTGGAACATTGCAATAGAACAAACAGTATGTCATCACGTGGACTTCCTGGAACATTGCAATAGAACAAACAGTATGTCATCACGTGGACTTCCTGGAACATTGCAATAGAACAAACAGTATGTCATCACGTGGACTTCCTGGAACATTGCAATAGAACAAACAGTATGTCATCACGTGGACTTCCTGGAACATTACAATACAACAAACAGTATGTCATCACGTGGACTTCCTGGAACATTACAATACAACAACGAAAACAAAAGAGAGTTCAACTGAACAACACAACTTCAGATATTACTATAAATTTATAAATGCTTTGATTAAACCAAACATTTGGTCTAACATTACATTTGCTCTTATGGTTAGTAAGTAAGTTTGTACCTGTTCATACTTGCATGAACACTTGAAAAAAACAGATTCAATCCTACACAGTTTGAACAGATGACTACATTTCCAAAAAAAACCACCTTTATTCTGGAAGCTTTCTTAATCAGTATAATTACAATCATTATTTTGGTTACGCGCAATATTTATTTTAATGAACTTTTCTTGGCGATGGTTATCCAATATCAAGACGTCATGAAATATAATGACAGAAATATTTACCATACCAAGATGACTTAAAGGGACAGGTACAGGCGTTGGGTACGTACAGGAAATAGTGCAGAATGTTGTATTGACGCATTCATTCTCGAGAGGCATATCATAACATTTTATATATCCTCACCGCAGCGGAGATAAGCTTTTAATCAAATGGATAATTCTTGATATTTGACTTGATTTGCTTTGTTTGGAAGTGTATTTGATAAACCGACAGTGTATTATTTTTGTTGTCTTCTTGTACATCACGTGTGTCTTGTTGACTCGATGAAGAGGATATTGGTCGTTAAATATAAGCGAGGTGGTTATTGACGTCACCATGTACATCTGTACAATGCCCACTTGTATGTCCACGCTTGACCTTGCACACTTGTGTTCGTACTGGTTTGCGGTAATTCAGTAGATCATGTCATTTCTATCCAAGCAGTGTTTCAGTCTAACACAAAGGAGAAGATAACTCTCATTTCTGTCTAAGCAATGTTTCAGTCTAACACAAAGGAGCAGATAACTCTCATTTCTGTCTAAGCAATGTTTCAGTCTAACACAAAGGAGATGATAACTCTCATTTCTGTCTAAGCAATGTTTCAGTCTAACACAAAGGAGATGATAACTCTCATTTCTGTCTAAGCAATGTTTCAGTCTAACACAAAGGAGATGATAACTCTCATTTCTGTCTAAGCAATGTTTCAGTCTAACACAAAGTAGAAGATAACTCTCATTTCGGTCTAAGCAGTGTTTCAGTCTAACATAAAGGAGAAGATAACTCTCATTTCTATCTAAGCAGTGTTTCAGTCTAACATAAAGGAGAAGATAACTCTCATTCTATCTAAGCAGTGTTTCAGTCTAACACAAAGGAGAAGATAACTCTCATTTCTATCTTAGCAGTGTTTCAGTCTAACACAAAGAAGAATATAACTCTCATTTCTATCTAAGCAGTGTTTCAGTCTTACACAAAGGAGAGGGTTAACTCTCATTTGCTATGAACTGTATTTGTTGAACCACTTTTGCAAACAACACACTGATTTACGTTTTGTGTTTGTGTGTGTGTGCAACCGTTACACATGTGCCATCGACTTAAGTCGCCGAGATAAGTGTGACGTCACACATTACAACGACAACATGTGATTTGGACGCCCAATCAAAAGTTCAAATGTCATGTAGTAACAGAAGAGTAGCAGTTTCCTGTCGTTAGGGAACAGAAAGGTGGTAGAACAGTCCAATGGTTCCATCTGTACATGGGAGTTAATATAACTCTCCTGTCGTTAGTGGACATAAAGGTGGTAGAACAGTCCAATGGTTCCATCTGTACATGTTAATATAACTCCCCTGTGCGTCTGCGCTTACGTGTATTTCTACTAAAATTACATTGTTTTAATTTATACACTACAATGACGTCTCGATGGTAACAGTGTTTGGTATATATGTCGGTTGTATTCTATGTTTTCGAGAGCTTGTGGTAATGTTATTAGGATGAAATTGACGCATTAATGTAAGGTAATATCAAACAATACCAAGCATGAATATTGTGTTACATTCTATATATATGTGTGTGTATAAGTTATTGGAAACATATGTCAATCTTTAAAAAAAAAAAAATTAAATGTGTCATTAAAAAAAATATATGAATCAATTGCACTGATATCCAATTCTAGATAAACATCTTTGAGAACACACGGCATTTTTTGTCAATTTTTAAGTGTGCCTAATGTGTGTGTCGGTTTTATTGCTCGGTAAAAATGAGAAATGAGTTTTACAAGGAGAGCATCAATGTCGTCTGCAAAGGAGCAAATAGCCGGTTGCTGTCTACGGACCTCGGGTATAGTGATGAAGTTGTGAAAACAAACTCACGACAAAAAATATGGGGTATTCTAAAGTTGAAGCAGAATGCAGCTTAAACTTCCCGAATCAAGATATCAATTATCGTATTGTAGGTAGCCTCCGTCGCTAACAGCTGGTCGATCGGATACAGCCAGAATCACAAGAACCAAGTCAGGACTTTCGGGGGAGTACAAGGCTTGATATTTCAAAATGGGATACTACACAGGCTAGTTGTTGGTGATACTGTCAGTAGTCGAAAGTTATAATTTTTTGTTTACAACAAGCGAGTACCAAAGCGTCAACTAAACTGTAATCTGGACTCAGAGTCGGTACCAAGGCAGACTATAAACATAGGAAAGATATACATGGAGACAATTGAAAA